GTCTGACGAGACTAGAACGGCAGCCGGAGCTTTTCGAACTCTGGGTTCGGAAACTCTATGTTGGAACTCGGGGTTTGGAGAACTCTTTGTTTCCCTTCAGGGCGTTCGAACCCCACTGCGCCCCCTCCAAACCCCCTCGCTGTTTTTAGAAGCTTGCCGAAAACAAAGAAAAAGACTGCCAATGACCAGTCCCTGCCACAAAAGAAGAAGAAGCCACACGAAACCGCTTTATGGGAGGTTTTTGCGAAGAAATAAAAGAAAGGCAAAACAAGAAAAAGATTGTCAATGAGGAGTTGAAAAAGACTGCCAATGACCAGCCCCTGCCACAAAAGAAGAAGAAGCCACACGAAACCACTTTATGGGGAGTTTTGGCAAAGAAATAAAAGAAAGACAAAACAAAGAAAGATCCCTCCAAACCCTGAGTTCGAACTCACTCCAAGTTGAACTTAACTCTGAACTTCTTGAACTGGAGTTGAACCAGTGGACACACTAGAAAGGCTGTGACTTACGTGCAGCCCTGGCAGTCTGGCTACCAGTGCTCGCAGTTCCGGGCACAAGGAAACTGGGTAACGGCCTTGATTATCAGTTCGTAGGATTCCGACTTGCACCTGACTCCTACACTTCCTCCACCAATTACTAGTACACTTGGCGCCAGCTCAAGAAGCGCTTGGATAATGGAGAGTGGAAGCTTCTGTACACCAAATAACGAACAAATGGAAGATCACCGTTGCTTCCGCAGGACTCTTTGGGAGGTTGCCGAACGCTACTTACTGGGCACGACATTCGCGCCAATGTCCGCCTATAATAAGGTGCATGGACGACCGACAGATCGATAGTTGACCTTAGTCGGCCTACCACAGCAGCTGGTGTGCCCGTTTTGGGTCCTGGCCATTCGGCTACGGGCAGATATGTGAGTCCAGCAAGGACAGTGCAGTCCGAACCCTAATGAGCCCCCTTTTCAGTGGTAGATGGCTAGCAACGCAGCCGTGGATACTTTTTGCCAGGAGCCTTCACATGCACATGTACATGGCTTATCTTGCGAAGTTCTATCACTAGCGGAGGGCAAGTAGCCAGACGGCGTAGCCGCAGTTCAGTCGCCGGCATAGAGGCACTGTCGGACTTCCTGTTGGTTGCTGTCATTCCTTGGATTGTCCTACAACGGATTCCAGCCCTCTATGGAACACCATGTGACGTCACCCGGCACATGAGGTCTGTCGGTCGACAGGAACGCCGCTGCCCGCATCTTGCTCCAGCGCCAGTTTACCTCGCACAGTACAACCTTTACAGCTATCGGATGGCGCACGATTTCAGGTTCCTGCACGACTCTATGCACATCCAGATAAGCTTGCTGAAGTTGGAGGCGCTTTGGTCGCTTACCTTGCGTCCAGAACGCAGCGTGATGAGCTCTTTGTAATGGGGGACTTCAACCGCATGGATGAAAAGCAGCCGGGACTGTGGGAACTTCTTTGCGCTCAAGGGCTCTTGCGGCAAGTCTCGGGCCGGGGAATCCCAACATATCGTTCTGGTAATGTTGAGTCTTGCTTAGACCTGGTGCTGCATAATGAAGAAGCAGAAGGTTGCCGCCGCCTTGGGAATCGGGTGTTTTGGCCCCATGCTCTCCCACAAGGACATGGTATCGTGACATTGAGGGTACGTAAAGCGCGCATGCTCTCTAATGATGTTGGGGCATCTACCTATCGAGCAATACCCATACGTGCCTTTAAGCAGCAGTTGCATGCCCCCTCCACACGCATCCCTGAATACTCTTCTCATCCGGCCAAGGTGCGCCTTGAAAGACTGAAAGTCCTTCTGCCAAACTCGCCCACTTTGCAGGACCTTCAAGGCCTTTTCCACGTATGGTGGGCTGGTGAGCTAGAGCACACCTCCTGTGCTGTCTCGGAAGGGAAGTATGGCGCGCTTCCATACTTATTAAACCGACAGCGCAAACGCCCACATGCGTCATCCTTCATCATCCCATGGGCCATTTTTGAGACTTTCCAACACCTGCTCCAAACGCGGCCCCTTCATACGCAAGGCCAGCCGGTAACAATCAGCGTTGAGACCGTCCACGTCGCTCCCCCTCCCACAATTAAAGACTCTCGTCAGCTGGGGGCACGCATGCCACACAAACATCCGAGATGGGATCTTCATCGCTCGTCGTTGGGATCATTTGGAACCACTGGCGTTTTACGGGCTGACGGCTCACCTTGCGCCACTGTGGGTGAGGTAGATGCCGCTCTACGTGCTACGCGTGCCTTCTGGCAGCAATCTCCACCGGACTATTCCCCGGAATGGGAGACAGTGCTCAGCGAATATCGACCCCCGCGTGCAACCCGGTGTACTCTTCCCCAAGAAGAGGACATCATGTTCCATCTCTTGCGTACGGGTGATTCATCGGCTGGGCCCGATGGTTGCCCATATGAGTGCTACCGCCAGCTGCCCACAGAGTCTGCTCGCGCTCTATATTCGCATTTTTTGGATATCATCCTCGGAGTCGCCCCGCCCCCAACACAAGCATTGACTTTCATCCCCAAAGCGGACGCGGGCCAGTATGCGGACAACTTCCGACCGCTTGATATGCCCGACACGGCTGCTCGTATCATTGACTCTGCTGTCTTTGCGTCGGCCATGGCCGTCATTGCTCCTTGCCTCAACCAATCTCAGGCCCTTGTCAGTCAATTAAAAGAGGCGCCTGCTAATTTTTTGGTAGTCCAGGACTGCTTATTGTCAGAGTCGCAGCCTTGCAATGTTCTCCTTACCGACATGGCCAAGGCCTTTGAAAGAGTCAACCCCGGCTGGCTGCTTGAGGTCTTAGACCGCCTCTACGTTCCTCAGTGGGTTCGGCAATATGCCATTCACCTTCTCTATGGTCGTCAATCTTTACACCGTATTCAAGGCCTCCTACTACCGCCGCTTCGCATGAGACAAGGCCTCGCCATGGGACGGGCTACATCCGTTCTTCTATTCTGTGTTGCGATGGACCCACTCATTTGTTCGCTACATCGCATCCCTCGGGTGCGAATGCTCAAGGCATACATGGACGACAACTCCACAGCAGGCTCAGACGTTACATGGGTAGGCGACGCGCAAATCAGGTTCGCTGCTTCTCTCTATAGTGCTGGCTTTCATGTCCTCAAGCACCAGTGCTTCTCTTCTGTACGGGTCCCATTTGCCATGGCAGAACGCTTGAGCCATGCCAGAGCAACAGGGGTCGTCTCGTCTGTACCACTAGAGTTCCAGGATTTCTTCCATCAAACAGCGGATCCTCATTTCACGGCAGCCAGCTTCACTGAAGTCTGTCGTAGAGTTCACCAGTTGCACTCCACTGACGCTCCGGGAATACAGTGTTTTGTTGCAAGTCAGGCGAAACGCTTCTCCTAGTCACACAACATGTCTGCGAGCTTACCTTGCGGGACATTTTGCCAGCTGCGAGATTTTCAGTGCTTTTTTCCGAGCCCCGTGTCAATGCAAATCCTCTTTGTTGTTTGGACGTGCGCCAACCCGGAGCAAATTCATCAACTGGATGCCACACCCTGGGGATCCAAATTGTGTACGGAATCTGCGCCGGTATTGGGCGGCCAAAAAGCGGCATCGTCATTGCCCGTAAAAGAAAGTTATTCCAGCCACTCCGCCAGTCTTAACCGGAGCGTGCCATATGCTGCCGAGCGCATCTGCAAGCTGCCTCCAATGTACCCAGCAAGTCATTCCGCCAGATGCAGGCGAGCAGCAGTGCACCCTGGTCGCCTAAATACTTCTTGGGGGTGGAAGACATTGCGATCGCAGCAGTTGGAGAAATGAATCCGGTCTTACCGTGGAAAAACCTCTCCTCGCTGCCGTTCTGGGACAGGTTACCCGCAGCCTTGATAATACTACTGCTGCTCTACCCACACGGGACGCTCTCCAACAATACGCGCGAACTTTAGTTGCAACCAACTTAGCGCTTGGAACGAAGGGTGTAAAACTTACAAACCCTGAACAACCCGTCAAGGTCTGCACAGACTTTTGCTCGCGCAACAAACGAAGTGTTCAGCTGTTCTTGCACTGCACTGCTGTCACCTAAAGCTTTGCTTTAAGCTTTGCTTTAATGAGCCTCAGAACATGTTTCATCATTGGCCCATTCTTTCAACGAGCTTCAGTCTCAAAGCTTTCCAGCCTTGAGCCACACATAAGCGCGGCACTCCGGATTCACATGTGCTTCAGCACATGTCAAAACAAAACTTCGCTTCAAAAGCATGCCGTCACAGCTTCCTACAAGCTCCACGCTGGCAAACAAACTTGCACACACTACAGCTGTTCGAGAAGGTACCTTGAGGCCTTCGAGAACTCATGCGGACTCTAATCAAACTAACGGCTCACAGCATTCACTCAGCTCACTCAAAAGCTCAAGCATGCTCAAGCAACTCATGCCACATGTCGAAAACTGTTCTCGCAGCTGAAAACCAAGGTTCCATGCCATGAAAACCGCAGCTCCCAGTGAAAATCTTCCAGTGCTTTGAGAAAACCTCTGCAAAACCAAAACCATGCAGAATATATCCAGATAACCATTGCACCTCAGAAAATTCCAGGAATCGCAGGAAAATTGGCTTGCTCCCAAACTGCAGTCAGCAGCCTGATGATATACATATCGCAGCCCATCACACTGAGCGGCTCCACCACTCAACAGGCAGCTCAGAGGTACAACTTTTCACACCCCCTTTCGATGTGTGTATCATCTCTCATCCTTGCTGCTGTCCAAAACAAGCACTTCTCGACACCAAGCACACATTGAAACATTGCCAACCATGTAGCCACGCTGCAACCCATGCGAAGCGACGAAGACATAGGTATTGGAAAAATCTCGCGCCAGATAGCCAGCTCTTCTCTCATGCCAGACAGGACGTCACCCAAAGCGAAGCCCAACAGACTTCTAACAGTGAACATACACATAGGCATCCTTGAGAATACCAGCTCTCACCGCTCATACATGTACCCATGCTCCTTCCGCAATCCCAGCGAGGATTTTACTCCTCCGCCAACTTGCGCTGGAATCCCTTCTGCTTTGAAAAACCAATCCTCATCAAATACCCCGCAAGGTCCGAGGACTGACTGGAGGAGGTCGTCGGATCATAATTGCGACCAAATTTCTCCTTGATCCAATTGAGGTAGCTTGCAAGGTCGCTATCCTCCTTGGCAAGCTTGACCAAGGTCGCATAGGACTTCTTAAACCACATCTTATTCTTCTGGACCTTTGGCAGATCGCAGACTGTCCGACCCCAATCCTCCATAGATAGATTACTTGGAAGTGGCACCGAGGTGACCTCAGTACCTGCATAGCTCACGACAATCACATTGTCGCTATCCCCAAACTCTTCCCCCTCGAATGCATCGACGAGGTCTTCATAACACTTGGGAGTGCTCACAGCACCCTTTGCGCTTCCCTTTGAAATCGGCAGCTGGGCACCGCAAGCAGATCCTGATGCAGTAGACCCATCCTCTGGATATCCACCCACATCTCTGAGACGCTTGGTCCCATCGGTCATAGAAGTATTGGCAGTCGAAGCCAAGCCATCTGCAGAATCCATCTTATCCAGCAAACGGCGCAGCTCCCTGCGTTCATCGGTCGTGAGAACCATGGCAGCACGAGTTCGCACCTAGGTTTCACACGCAAAAACAACTAGCACCAGTACGGAGCTTTGTCTGCAGACCTCAACGTCCGCAAAGAAACCGGCGTCAAGAGGAGAATCCGAACCCAGCCAACAGCCCGGCCCAAACCCCCAAAAGCATCACTGCAACGTTTTGATCGCACCTCGAACAATCGCATCAGCGAGTTTCGGAGTGTAAAAACCTGTTTCGGTCCACCCAACCTGCCACAGACTTGCATGCTTAGCACACCTGCAGCTGGAAAAACACTTCAGGGCAGACACAAACTTTTCAGAAGTCGAAGTAAAACCCAAGACTTTGCCTATAGGCTCACCCCCTTTCGAACAAAGACCAGTCATGCACAACCTCACCGGCACATCGAACGTGTGGCCTGCCTTCTTCAGCACCTTCTGGCACAAGTCATGTTGCCAAATCTCATTGTTCCATGGCAGCTCAAAGCTCGAGTGCTTCCCAAGCTTCAAGTACTTCAACACACAAGGAAACACCTCAAACCATTCCCAATCCGACTTCGACGAGCTCCCGCCAGAGAACCGACGCAAGTAAGATCCAGAAGAGCAAGGCGTGGACACATGCACAAACACGCAGTCACACGCAAAGTTCAGAAGATATCGACGCACCTCTTTGAACACGCTGTCACTCTGCATGTTCTCAGTCACGCCAACGTAACTCATCCCGACTCTGCGACATGCACCTTGAACACTCGACTGCGGTCGACAGCACACTTCAACCATCACCAATCTCTTCTCATGATTGCACAAAGACGCAAGTGGTCCCGACAGCGACTCAAAGCCCAACGCTTCGCGATGTATCCCGAAAGCCGAGGACCCCAAACATTTAGTCAAGAGGTCTGACGGATTTTCGATTCCCTTCTTAAACGCAAGGACCAAAGAACCCGCTGCGACACGAGCTTTAAGCCACTCGACTCTTATCTCAAGATGTCTGCTTTGTCTGGGTGTGTCCAAATTGCGAAGAAGCTTCAAAGCGCTTTCTGAGTCACTGTAAAGTATCCCAGGCAATTCAACTTCCTCGCTTTCTCGAAACGACATGAAGACCCTTGCCATGAACTTTCCAAGACTCGACATTTCTTGAGCAACCGACTGCAACGCAAACAGCTCTGACTCCATAGACGACAGCGACACAAGCTGTTGGTGACGACACAAAGTCTTTATCACGCAGCCATCAAGTGTCAACACTCCTCCACTGATGCCACGGCGCTTCGTGCACCTCAAAGGCGCATGCGATGCGTCAGAGAAACACACAAGGTGCCTCTTTCCTTGGTAGTGTTGCGAGGGAGCCAACACATCACTCGCAGCAGGCAACCGCACAACCACGCACATGTCGTTCTTCAGAAATCTAAGCAAGGCTCGGAGACCATGCTCAGTATGATTCGTGGGTGTGGCTTGCTGCGTTGCCAAGATTGACACATAAGCACGCAAGTCCTGACGAGTCTGCGTCATCCAAGCTACTTTCCCCAACGCAGACCTGAACCTGGCATACGCCTCAGGAGACAATGGAACCCCATCTTGCTTCTCAACATGAACCGCAACATCTGGAGGACTTGAGGAACCTTTTCCCGAAAGACCATAAGCCTTGAAGGTCTCATCCAAATAATCTTCTGGCAAAGACACTGTGATAGAGGACTCCCCCTTTCTCCTGGAGATAACCCTACCAATAAACCGCAAAGTGCCACCGCCATCCTTGGAAGAATTGATCAACCCGGTTCTCTTGAGTTCAACTTTCTTCTCAATCACCTCAAAGATGTGATCTGCATCCTCCTTTGTTGGCGCAATGCACAGAAAATCATCCACATAGACCAACAGCAAACAGGGACCTGACTCAAGCATGCCTGAAAACAGACACGGCTCTAAGCTGCAACTTTGAAGCCCCAAAACCTTCACAGTCTCCCCTACGAAGTAGATCCATTCTTGCGAAGCCTTGCGTAGCCCATTGAGGGCTTTGTTGAGGTGAAGATACAAAGGATCCCCTGAAACCGAAGACACTGACAGAGGAAACCTCATCACCACATCCCTTTCTCTCAAAGGCGTAGCCATGAAAGCGTGAGATACATCAGCACCTGCAATCACGCAATCTCTGCAACCTGCAACCCCAAGAACCGTGAACAAAGCATCGGCACTAGGAGTAGGACTCGAGATGCCCAAAGCCCTTGCAGACTCTGAGTTCTTGCCAGCAATATCCTTGATGACAATCCTAGCTCGCACTGTAGTTGGTGTTTTCTGCGTCGTGACCCAACGACTAGGGATGACCTTCAAGGTACCTGGGAACCTCTTCTCAAGACTCTGAAGTTCTGAAGCAGTCAACAGATCCCCAGTTTCCATGTGACTCAAATTGTTGACTTCTTTGACCATGCCTTCCATGACCTGATCTCCTGAAAGCTCACCCAAGGTAGAGTCATCAACAGCGGAACTAGGCTTCCAAAGTCTCAAATGCGACCTTTTCCCAAACGGCAAAACAACACTCGTAGAGTTCGGGGCGAACTGAACCGAATCCACAAGCCCTGAAAGTAAAGGGACATAATTGGAAACCTGGAACGCCTGCTCAACAAAACTCGCAAGAGGCATGTGAACATCATTCCCTGTTTCGCAATTGTGGAAGGTAACCATAACTGAAGCAACCCTTTCTTGGTCCTGCCTGATCTCACGCTCCAGATCTTCCAACGGGACTTCAGAGGAGCGTTTCACAGCACTGCTTCCACGAAGCACTTCTTCAGCCTCTAGGCTGCCTCCGCCTTCACTTCCAGTCAACACTGGATCGGCAAACGGCATCTCAGTGTCCTCATCAAGAGCCCCAATGCCCTCAGACTCAGGAGCAGCAGCTCCTTCAAGATTTTCAGGCAGACGCCTGGATGAAGCTTCGTCATCATCGGGCTCCCCAGAAACAGAAAATCTAACACTGAGATGTTGGTTTCTTCGCTTGCAATCAGCATTGTGACGAATGCCAGGAGCATTCATGCCAGACTCGCACGCAGGACAACCACGCGTGAAAACACGACCACTGGGGGCCGCCTCGCTCACAATCCTCGCTGGAGCCTCAGACGAAGCAGCGCCCCCATTGGCCGGGGGAGGCAAAGGAGAACCCTGAGCCTCCTCCACAGCTCGGTCTTGCCTCGACTCATCCTCGGCTAGCTCAGAAAGAGCTTCACGCATAGCCTCTGCATCCGAAGCCACAGGCACTTCAACGTCCATGCTGTCATCTGTTGCAACTGGCGACCGCAACCACGCTTCATATCTCAAACAGCAAGCCCGACCGTGAGAAGAGCCCTTCCTAGACCCAAATTGTGCCATGTTAGAACACGCTCGGCACTCACCTGAGAACCCATACCTCTCAAAAACTCCTTTGGCGGACCGGAAACAGGACACTTCAAAGAGGCACCCTGGGAACTCGGAAGAATCCGAGGCGCAACTGGATGATCTGGCCTCTCAGGCCCAAGCTCACCACGACGACGCAAAACTTCAAACATCCCCGACTCGAAGACAAGCTCAATCGGAAACACAAGCTTGATCGACTTGGCAACAAACACCTTTGGCGTCAAGACCTGGCCCACACGCACATGCGCATACACCAAGCTCCCAAGCGACCCAAATTGCGGGTGAAGAAAAGCTGCCGCCTCAAAACGCGACATATTCGGGCACAAAGCCTTCACAGACTCAGGGACCTCAGCAAGCACCTTGGACCCAAACAACGCAAAAGGGGTATCTGGCAACCTTCGACCAACTGCAACCTCCTTTGGAGAGCGTTCACCGCCAAAAGCTTTGCCATTCGAATTCACACTCATGCACAGGTAAGAAAGTGCAAGCTGCAACAAGTCTCTCCGAAACGACAAAACGCAACCAAGCGACTGAAAATCACTTTGCAGAGTAGCTAGCCCTTCTTTAAGGACCCGGACTGTCCTTTCCGCACCACCAAGCTGTTCATGAGCTTGTGGCGCAGCCTTGCGCACCATAAAGATGTACTTATCCGACGCACCTGCAACAAACGACTTCACTGCTTCTTCGGAATCTGTCGAAAGCACAATGCTTGCCTGTGAGGACGACAACCCAAACTCAGCAAGCCACTTCAAAAGAAGACCTCTGTCCTTTGCAATGTTCTCAGTTATCATCACAGCCCCAATAGAAGAAGAAAAGGCCTCACGAAGGACGAGGACCTTGAAAGAGCTACTTGTCTGGCGCTCAGCTACGCTGATCGTCTCTCCAGAAGAGTCGAGAAACATAAAATCTGCAACAATCTCTGTTTCCACTCCGCGCTCAGACTTTCGCCTGTGTTGGGTAACACCTCGGGACTTCAGACAATGCTCGCAATCAGGATGGAAGGGCATGTGGCCCTTTGCTCTGTGAATTTCAAGATCTTCCTTGGTCTTCTGCGAAACAACTGCAACATGTCCAATCGAGGAAATTGGAGCAGGATCAACTGAGGCATCCAACGGCAACAAGAGATCACCTTCTGAATGAGGAATCACGCGGATCCAAGGCGTGTCACACCAAATACAGGTATCAATCATATCAACACCCGACTTCACTTGACACACAGAAACGCCTTCATCCAAGACAACACGCCAACCATGCCTTCCAAGAGTTCGCGTTGACAGGATATTGTAAGGAGTGTCACCCACCATCACAGGAATCTTGCAAACACCATTCTTGGTAGCTCCACTTGAATCCTTTGTGCGAACCTTTAGCACAACATGGCAACGACCATCAAAGGGAACAGGAGTCCCATTCGCAGCCATAAACGTCGAACCACATGCAGTCAACTCATCATGCGGAAGCGTCTTCAACGTCACATGGTTGATAACACAGCATGACGCACCTGAGTCAAGCAGCCAAAACTCACTTCCAGGCGACTGACCCAACGACTGCAACAAAGGTTGACACAACTGCTCTTGGAGCACAACAGACACCGACTCGCTGTCTTCAAGGACAGCTTCAAAACGCGTATTGGGCTCATCAGTTGACTCAATGACACAAGACAACACAAGAGTGGCATCCACCTGCTGTGTCTCTTGATCGTCACCTTCTTCGGTGTAAAAAGATTCATCAGCATCTGTGTACCACCAAACCCCTGTCTCCTCATCAAACAGAGCAAACATTTTTCCTTTCTTTCCTCCTTTTCCTTTGCTCTTGCCTTTAGGCGAAAAAGAAACTTGACCCTTGGCCGCAGCAGCACCTTTGCCATCAGAACCCTTAGGTCTCGCACTCGACTGAGAAACATCACCCTGCTTGCCCTTGGCACAGTTCAAAGATATGTGGCCCATCTCTCCGCACTTGAAGCACTTAACCTTGGAAAGGTCTGCCGTGCACTGATTCACTTGATGCCCCTTCTTGCCACAACGGTTGCACTTCACACCGCTCCCAGCATCAGAAGGCCTAGCACTCATGCCAAAGACGTGACCATCCATTCCCTCACCTGCCTCAGGCGAACCTGCGCTCTCAGAAAACTCGGTTTCATGCAAGCCAAACAAACCTTTGGCCCCTTGCAACTCAAGAAACAAACGCTGCTGATGTTCCCATCGCAAAGCTGAAGATCGATATGAGGCATATGTCTCACCCTGCGAATGATGTAACGTATACGCCTTTGCGCTCTCAGGCAAAGACCTCATCAAAAGCGTAAGCTGATCACTGTCAGTCAAAGCAAACCCAGCAGCATCTCTAGGATCTAGCGTCGAAAGTAAACGCACAAACCTTGCCACTGCCACCTCAATCTGACGCACTGTGTCAGCAACTGGAGCTGACGAGTCTTGCGCTCGAAACGTTCTTGCCATCAGCATCGCCCTGAGACTCATAGCCTCAGCACGACTTCTCAAAGAAAACTCCTTGGCAAGCTGCCTAAGCAACTCAAAACCATTACCCATATACGAAAGAGAGTTCCCGAAAACATCTCCCTGCATGGCGACTGCAACAATGTCAAGCCCTTCTCCGAAGCTTTGGATCATAAGAGTTATCCGCCCATGATCTGCAAACGCTGCCTTCAGCACACTAAACAAACGAACTCCTCGCGCTTGTTGACTCTTAGACAACGTGTTCCATGCAATCTGTGTAGGCCATCGCGCGGCCTGAGCGATCTCCTTTCCAAACTCAACACTTGCTTGATTCGCCCATGCAACCAACTCGTGAATACAGGCATTCATGCCCAGCACTTCGGATTCACGCCCTTTCCACGCTTGATGATTTGGCGAAGGTGGAGACCCTAGCCACTTCTCACTGCGGCTAAAGACGTCTTTGTCTTCACTGCTCCTCGCATTTTCAGCTGGAACACCAGGTAACGTGTTACCTTGATGTCTCACAAAAGCTGGCACATTCAAATCAGGTGGCGACTGCCCCAATCTCTCAGGAACGAACTGTCCACTCACAGGGACATTCAGTCTTTGGCTAAGATCTGCATACAAGGACTGCAACTCACGCGCATTCATGCGATCAAGCAGCTGTCTCCCTGCACTAGCATTATCTCCAGAAACCTGACTGCAACATCCTTGACTCGGAACTGTCGAAAGATTCCTCGCAGGACCCGAAGGCACTGACAAACCTGGAGCTGGCGCCACTGGCCTAATACCAGCACATGCACTCGCAACTGAAGACGTACCGCTCGAAGGTGGACATGGCATGCTAATATGAGACTCCATCGGTCCCATTCCAGCACGCATACGATTTCCATACAACGCCCAGGGATCTCTCTGAACACCTGTAAACCATGGATCGCTTGACCCAACACCACTCACACCTTCCATACCTGTTTGCCTCCTTTCCTGTTGCCCACACCCAGCTGTACCACACCCATACTCCCCTCCAGCCTCAGCAAGACCTGGACTACACGGAGCTGGCGCCTCAGCACTTGGACCTATAGGCCTTTGAGACATAACACCTTCTTTGGGTCGGCGGAAATGGTGTGGGAGCACAAACAGTGCTCCGCTACCATGTAAAACTTACAAACCCTGAACAACCCGTCAAGGTCTGCACAGACTTTTGCTCGCGCAACAAACAAAGTGTTCAGCTGTTCTTGCACTGCACTGCTGTCACCTAAAGCTTTGCTTTAAGCTTTGCTTTAATGAGCCTCAGAACGTGTTTCATCATCGGCCCATTCTTTCAACGAGCTTCAGTCTCAAAGCTTTCCAGCCTTGAGCCACACATAAGCGCGGCACTCCGGATTCACATGTGCTTCAGCACATGTCAAAACAAAACTTCGCTTCAAAAACATGCCGTCACAGCTTCCTACAAGCTCCACGCTGGCAAACAAACTTGCACACACTACAGCTGTTCGAGAAGGTACCTTGAGGCCTTCGAGAACTCATGCGGACTCTAATCAAACTAACGGCTCACAGCATTCACTCAGCTCACTCAAAAGCTCAAGCATGCTCAAGCAACTCATGCCACATGTCGAAAACTGACCAATGCCATGAAAACCGCAGCTCCCAGTGAAAATCTTCCAGTGCTTTGAGAACACCTCTGCAAAACCAAAACCATGCAGAATATGTCCAGATAACCATTGCACCTCAGAAAATTCCAGGAATCGCAGGAAAATTGGCTTGCTCCCAAACTGCAGTCAAGCAGCCTGATGATATACATATCGCAGCCCAGAAGTTACTAGCTGCTCACGCAACAGTTCGGGTCACAGCCAGGTCGCACCGCTGATCACTCTCAGCGCCGCGCAAAAAACCGTAAACCGTAAACATTCATTCCTTTGGAAAAGAAAGAGCGAATCTTGGTCACTGCTCACCCGACAGCGAAGAAGAATTTACGCGCTGCAGGCAACCGTTCGTCACAGCAAAGCTCACTCACTCACACTCACTGACTCACGTGCCAAAAGCTGGCAGAGCTTAGTCACTGCTCAACAGATACTCGCGCTGGGGCAACAGTTCAGCACCAGAGAGGCGACAGCGAAGCTCACTGACCGCTGATCACTCTCAGTGCCAGGTTCAATGCGCGTTAAAACATTAATGCCATCGTGTGAGAAACGACAAGGCTTACTTACTGCGATTCAGAAAGCTGCCGTGCTACTGTCTTCTACATTCTACGGGGCAGCAGACAAAACCATGCCTTGCGAAGTCTTCTTTGCTCTGCTTTCAGGGTCTTAAAGTCTTAGCGACTCTGCACGCTTCTACCTAATCAAGACATCTTGTAGACACGCAGACAATACCACACCTTTGCATCCTGAAGCTCCTGTCGCAAGCGGGCCAGACGGCGGACAAAGTTTCCTAGCAACAGGCCAGACGAGAAAGGACATTCATTTCTACACTGCGGCAACTCCACTCTTTGAGGGGAGGAACAGGAGGTGCTTCCATGTCGGACATCGTTGCAACACTTGAGCCAAAAGAGCGCTCGAATTACGGAGCCAATTCCGGAAGCTGTTCTCTAGGATGCTTGGAAGGGCCTCCTCTGAAACACAAAACTTGCATCAGCCTCTTCGGCCAGGATTGACCGAGTGCATAGGCCCGTGGAACCGTGCTCGAGAGACTGGCCGGACAATTAAGGACGCTTGCAACCCATTGCAAGCCGGCCGATTTTGAGCGGCTTGTGAGTTTTCTGTCTCGAGGATGCAGCGTTTATCAAGTTTGCGGATGTGAGACAGCGATTCCTTTGTGGACTCTTTGTGAAAAGTTGTACCTCTGAGCTGCCTGTTGAGTGGTCTGGAGCCGCTCAGTGTGATTCGTCTTCGGTTGAGTGTGAGTCTTGTTGTGACCCGAACTGTTGCGTCAGTTACTAAACTTTTCGGTTCAGCAGTGTGCAAGCCTTGTCTGAGGCAGGGCACGAATGTTTTACGGGCTTTGAGCCCGGCACTACAAGCGATGACGCTGCGGAGTGGGGTTTGCCATCTGGCAATGAGGTCTGCCATCTGAGCCGTGAATGTATGAGCATTGCCCAAACTGCTGCCTGAGCAGCTTGTAAATTTTCGGCTAGTCAGTGACGAAGCCTTGCTTTGACGTAATCCCAGCCTTCTTTTTCTGAAGGCCACCAAAACGTGGTTGCGTTGCGGTGTAGGGTTTAGGATGAGTAAGTGAGCCTTGCTGTAGTCCATGTGGTCAGCCAAAACTCTTTGTTGACATCTAGCAGGTTTTTCCGAATGCACGAATGTGAGCCCGTCATATCATGCTCATTCGCAAGTGCTTCTGAAATGTTGAGCCTGTTGCAAGGTCGAAGCTGAGCGCCGTAGTCTTTTACGTAGAGCAACACGCAGCATGGGAAATCTGGATCCGAAACTGTCCGCTTGCAGAAAGCTAGGACAGGCAGACTCTACTGATCCGCCGCAGTTTGATTCGAGATTGTATGCTGCAGGGTGTGAGGATACAGACGAGGGAACCTGAACGAGCCCAGCGGTGGCGGGCAAATGATTTCACCCTTAGGACAAAGCCGGTGGTATAATACTCAGCTGCCAACTGAGTTTGATTGACTCCGGCATGTCTGGGACCTTCCACCGTTCTAATAGTGTTATACTACCCAAAGGGTGTGTAAGTGGGTTCCCTTGGTTTTTGCAGCAGATGGGGTGGGTTCCCTGTGGGTTCCCTTGTTTTTTGCAACACTTCAGGTGGGCTACATATGGGTTCCCTTGTTTTTTGCAGCATTTCGGGGGGGTCTGTGTATGTTCTTCACTTAGCTTTCTTGTAGATTCCCATGGTTTTTGCAGCATGGACGGTGGGTTCCCTGTGGGTTCCCTAGTTTTTGCAGCATTTTTAAGTGGGTTCCCGTGGTTTGTGGCAGTATCGACGGTGGGTTCTCTGTGGGTTCCTTTATTTTTTGCAACGCTTCAGGTGGGCTACATGTGGGTTCCCTTGTTTTTTGCAGCATTTCGGGTGGGTCTGTGTCTGTTCTTCATTCAGCTGTCTTGTAGATTCCCATGGTTTTTGCAGCATGGACGGTGGGTTCCCTGTGGGTTCCCTGGTTTTTGCAGCATTTTTAAGTGGGTTCCCATGTTTTGTAGCAGTATCGACGGTGGGTTCTCTGTTGGGTTCCCTGGTTTTTTTGCAGCATTTGAAGTGGGTTCCCATGGTTTTCCAATCTATATCACTCAAAGGTTTGGGCGGGCTCCCTTAGCTTTTGCAGCATGTCAGCTGGGTTCCCTGTGGGTTTCCTGGTTTTTTGCAGCATGTTTAGTGGGTTCCCATGGTTTAACAGCATCGACGGTGGGTTCCCTGTGGGTTCCTTGCTTTTTGCAGCATTGCAAGTGGGTTTTTCCAGCATATATTGCGCAAAGGTCTGGGCGGGCTGCCTTGGCTCTTGCAGTGTGTCAGCTCGGTTCCCCTTGGAGTACATGTGGGTTCCCATGGTTTCTCCAGCTCGCGTCTGCTGTTTGCAGCTTGGGTCGAGACCAAAGACGTTAAACAGGCTCACCTCTGATGCACATGAGGCTCGCCGCCCTCCTATTGTCATGCTCTTGATAGGTTTGCTGCGGCTCAATGCTGGCACGCTGATGCAAGGATTTTGCGGCATGTACTGGCAGACGTTAATCTCAGCTTGTAGCTTCAACTGTTTCGATTGTTTGCCGTACGTGCGCGGTGCTTTTTGCGTCTGGAAGCTCCACTTGCAGGAGCTCTTTTTTCCTACAGAATCGTAGGAAGCCTCGAAGGGCCTCCCCTGTGCGGGAATTATCTTGTACGGACAAGAACAGAAGCACTTGTCTTGAAACGGCAGCCGATGGCAAGTTTGGCAAATTTTCCAAAAGTATCTCACATTTCACAGCATGTTGGCTTTCTTGGATGTTGATCTAAACAGCACGCGGAAGGAGTTTTGTTTTTCCGTGCAGTTTTCCAGCTGAAACGGGTTTCAAAAAGCAGCTCTAGCCCGGGCACCGAAACGGGCCCCAGATTTTGGCTTTCTTCATTGGACATACAAGCTCACGCAATTCGGGGCCCCAAATTAGAGCTCAGATTTGGGAGCCATTTCCGGGGCCCAGTTATGCCGTTTTTTCATCGAGCAGATGCCACATCTGCGTACACAGCTGGCCGTTGCGTGCAACAGTATAGAAACCACGCCAGCTCTGTTTTGCATTTTGCCGGTGTTCCTTCAAAACTCAAAATAACAAGTGGAACGCTCGGAAACATGTGAACCTTGCAAACAGAACTTTCTCACACAGAGGAGGCCCTTCCAAGCATCCTAGAGAACAGCTTCCGGAATTGGCTCCGTAATTCGAGCGCTCTTTTGGCTCAAGTGTTGCAACGATGTCCGACATGGAAGCACCTCCTGTTCCTCCCCCTCAAAGAGTGGAGTTGCCGCAGTGTAGAAATGAATGTCCTTCCTCGTCTGGCCTGTTGCTAGGAAACTTTGTCCGCCGTCTGGCCCGCTTGCGACAGGAGCTTCAGGATGCAAAGGTGTGGTATTGTCTGCGTGTCTACAAGATGTCTTGATTAGGTAGAAGCGTGCAGAGTCGCTAAGACTTTAAGACCCTGAAAGCAGAGCAAAGAAGACTTCGCAAGGCATGGTT